CTTATCTGCAGAATAAGACTATTACTTAGAAAGTCAGACAGATTAAACGAAATTAATTATGCAAAGTACTTGGGAAGTAGCCACATATTAAGATCTCAATAACTTGTATTCAATCCAAAAAGACCTAGACATATTTATAGCTAAACTATTTCAGACTTTTAGATTGTCAGTGTTTAAAAAGATGGAAACCTTCTCTATTTTTTATCTTACAAAGTGAACATATTCAGAAACCAAAATCTGCAAAAGGTAACATAAATAGTAGAGATGTATCTTCCATGGCAATAAAACCTAACATGACCTCAAAAGGGTATGCTATTATTTAAGTTGCCTTTACCCCAAAGAGAGCAATTAGTTGGTGATATTCTCTAGGAAATCTTGTAATATAATTCATCAACTGAGAACTAAAGGAAGAAAAACTGCATCATCATCAACGTACATGAAGAGAGTATGTGATTAAATTTAATATCGTTTTCCAACTTATTCCTCTATTCCAAAAGGAAGGAATAGAAAGGGTGGGGGGCAGTGACAGAACAGAAAGTGGATATAGAAAGGATAGAAAAATGGGTGCCTTTGACAACTTCTACTCACAATTCTATTCTGTTGCATTTGGGAAAGAGAATAGTTTTCTCCCCCATGTATTTATAAGGGCAAGAAAACAGGATTTCTTCTGTAAAAAGATGCTTTAAATAGGAAATTTTCAAACGTTAAATGTTCTCTTTCCTCAGTGCAGAGAGGCAGCCTAGCTTGGAAAGGGCCAAAAAGATTCTAACAATACTTGGCTCTCAACAACAAGCATTAGTCAAACTGTTAATTCCATCTGCTCCCCTCCAAAAAATGACAAAGCATTACATGGTGGTGTCAGGGGTCTCAGGTTCCATTTAAAGGGTTTTCCTGAAGGGCATCCATTTTCACAATATTAAGATACCCTCTGATTTTTTTTTTTTGAGTACTTCAGAGAATCATGATACAATAGGATTGAAAACTTTAATGCTGATACCAAAGAGATGGACTATCTTTGCCATCATATTCTTTGTTGGAGATGTTGCTTCCAGAATTGTCTTCCTTTCTTATTGTCAAAGCTCTGAATTTTCACCACGTCTTCTCCTCAGGGACATAGTTCCAATAAATATCCCATCTTTCCTGAATTTCTTACTTCTCATTTTCCTTAAGCATATAAAGAAACCCTCTAGATCTCTCTACAGTGGTTTTCAACCATCCCTCCAACACTGGAATTAACTAGGAACTTTAGAATATCTGTGCAACTACAGTAACAAGGTAGACTGATGGTTTCTTGGGGATAAAAGGGAAATATTATAAAGGGACAGCAGGAAATTTTTGAAGGTGATAGATAGATTCATTATTTTTATTGTGGTAATGTTTTTATGAACATAAACATATGTCAAACATTAATTGCTCACTTTAAGTATTATAGTTCATTATATATCAATTATACTTCAATAAAGCTACTGAAAGAAATACTGATGCCTAGATCCCACTCCACCCCTCAAATTGATTGGGGGGGGGGTCTCTCTAGAAATCAGGATTCTTAAAAATGCCCCAGATTGTAAATGCACAAGACTGCCAAGTACATTGTACAAATGTACAATGATAGCCAAGATAGCTTTCATTCTCTCTCTTCTTTAGATTTCTTGAAATGTCTCTCCTAAGCATGTTTTCATTACCATCATCCATTCTGAACCAAGTTTCTGAATCACCTCTCAGCTAAAACTGTAATTGCTAATGACACCTGTGGACTCCTAACAAAATTCACTGGTTCCTGGAGTCATCTCCTTACTTGACATCTCTCCACAGCATTCAAAATTGTTGACCCAGTCCCTCTCTACTTGAAAATCTCTTCATCCTTAATATCTTTCTTGATGTTCCTCCTGCCTCTCTATTACTCTTCTACTCTTCTACACTATTCTACCTATTTCTGGTTTTACCCAAGGTTCTTCTCTCGCTGCTGTTTTCATCATGCTAAAGGCTTTCCCTAACCTTATTTCAACACAACCAAACCAATTCAGCTTCAATCCTGACTTCATTTATAAGTTCCACATTCATTGATCCAAACACCTATCTACATCTTCACCCAATGTGCCACAGCTTTCTCAAATTCAAAGATCCACAACAGAATTTATCATCTTCCTCCCATTTATGTGTTCCTAATTTCCAACTAATGGAACCAATCAAATCATCAGAGACTTGATTCCTCCTTCCTTCCTCTCAAAAGTGACCAAGACCTATTAAATTCTACCTCACATTGCCAGAGTAAGTCTCTAAACCACAAATCCATTAGATGGTTTCTTATTTATCACCTTCAATCCAATCCCTTAACCAAGAGTAAAATGCCCTTAACTGGTCCTCTACCACTCTCACTATTCTCATCTTCCACCGATTCGCTATCTAATCCCTGTTGTGAAGTCACATCGAAGTCAATGTTATTCCCTTTGGCCTTGTCATGGACAATGATTTCCCTAACCTGCCATGGTTTTTCATGCCCCCTTACCTTCTCATTTATTATGTCCTCCTTTTAGAAAATAATTCATTTACCTCCTTCACTTGGCAAAATAATATCCTACTTTAAAACCCTACTATGGGCTCCTGACTACACCTATTTCTAAGTGAGTTAGCCCTCTCCTACTCTACTCCTTTATTACACGGGGCATATCTCTCTATTCACACATCACATAGTATTAAAATCTTTACTTCATTTATCTGTCTTGTACACTTGACAGTAAGGTCCTAGAATATAAGAATTATGACACCCATATGTCTGTATCCCTAGTACCTATTCAGCATGGGGTAATGACAAACTAATTTATTTGACATAATTTCAATTATTTTTAAAATGTAAACCTGTTATCTCCAAAAAGGTCTTGAATATTTATTTTTTAGACTTTTTAAATCTGTTTTATTGAAGAAACAATGTATTATAATGTTGTTTCAGTTGTGCATCATTAAAAATCAACATTTAGTTCATCACTAAAAGTCCAATACTATCCTCCACCATACTGTTCACTCCTTTTACCCAATTTACCCATCCCCCTCTGCCTATTCCCCTTCCATGTGGTAACCACTAATTGGTCTTATATTTATTTTTGTTTTATTTAGTTCATTTGTTTGGTTATTCTATATATCGCATAAATATTTCTTTTTATTATAAAATATATATTAGGCAACAGGATCCTGAATAAAACAGCTGACTATGTATTTAAACTCTGTCAAAACAGGTGCAGACAAACCTCTCCTGTCTCTGCTGCTGCTTTCCTAAGCAGTGTATTTCATTAAGTCTGCCTTTTCTGTTTTCCAAAAATAAATAATAAACTCTTTCAAAACGTTACTACAAAAAATGCAACCAAGCAGATTTCATAAAATGGAAATAGAGCAAAGAAGGGAAGCATAATTGGGAAAACACTCTGATCTACACAATGCCTCATTTGGGTGTCCATATCCAGGTACTGTTAAAGGTGATAACTAACGGGTTTTATAATACCTCCATGGTAGTAATAGTAAATCTTAAAAAGATAAAATAAAACAAGTCAGAATTGTTTTCCCTTGCCACTTAGTTTAAACAAATTATTTTAATACCTGACTTTGAAGTTACCATTGACCAAGCAGACCTTAAAGATTTATTTTTTTCTTTGCCTTTCCCTGAACTCCAAAAACATGCTTTGACGTTTTGAACTAATATTAATCTTATAAAACATAAAACGTACTAAACTGAAGAAAGAATGCTTAGAAATGGGGGTGGGGGTGGAGAAAGTAAGCAACAGAATATTCTTAGGGGAAACAAATCTCCCTGGACTATCACATTGACTCAAGGTTATAACAATTCTTATGACTTTATGCAGATAAGATTTTAAAAGCTGAAAATCTCCAACTGCAAAGTATTACATGAACCAAAGAGGTGACAGGCCAGCTTCAAAAACTACTATATGACCCAAACGGCACATAATTTGTTAAAGGACAGCTTGGCTCTACTGCCTATAGTATGGTCTGTGAGATAAAGTAGCAGCTGCCAGTACAACAAACTCCCCCTACCTGAAGAACCGAAGAGGCCGCCGGGTTTGTGATAGAAAATTTCAGAGATCCGGATTCTGTGCAGCACGAAACCACTAGGGCAAAATTTAAATCTTTAGGGAATGTCTGAATTCTTGAGGAGAGAAAGCACACGTGTGCATGCTGAAGGGACAATAAACACCCAGTTCCGCTGAAGCTTGAAAACTTGGAGTCTTTTAAACCAACAATTGTCAGACAATACCCTGACGATTCTCGACTACGTTCAAACAGCCTCGGGGAGAGAAATAACTCACAGAAGGGGACATGGGCTGAAGAGATCTCCAACGCTATATAACCAAGGAAAGAATCGTGACTGCTTTCTGAATCTCTCCGCCCAGCGAGGGACCAAAGACCTAGGCGACTGCAGCTGGCAAAGAGGGTGGGGGTCGACGGTGACCATTTTGGCCACCAGGCTGGACAGATAGCGGGAACTAGCAGGAGCAGAGGGAGCGGATGGGAGCGGTGGGGAGCGCACAGGCCGGAGCATCTGCCGCGGCTGAGTGGGGGTGAGGGGTTCCCACCCCAGGCCGACCCTGCAGAGGGGGGCTGCCCACCGGGCCGAGGAGGCTGCACCCGGGTCACGCCCGGAGACTGGACCGCTCCTCGCCGGGGAGAAGAAAGACCCAACCCGCGCGCCCGAAACTGCCGCCGCCCAGGCTGCGAGCGGGCTGCGCCCAACTTCGCGGCGAGAAGCTACCGCCGCAGCCCACCCCCCGGCCCCGCCAGGCACATCCCCCTGACACCCCCAGTGCCCGGCGAGGTCTCGCGCCCACCGGCGGTGCCTCGCGCCGGAGCCGTTACCCCAACGAAGCCGCCGCCCCAGGGACAAAGTCCCGGTCCCCTCCCAGCCGCCGCCTCGCCCCGGCTCCTCCCTGACGAAAAAGTTATCGGTCGCCGGACGCCCTGGGGGCCCGGCACGGGGATCTCGCAGCCAGACTCACCAGAGTGGCTCTCCGAACCCCACCTCCAGAGCCTCGACTTGCCCGGCTCGCAGCGACAGCGACGGCGGCTGCTCTGCTTTCTCCCGAGCAGCAGCACCACCTGCCCCCCTTCTTCCTAGCAGAACGGGTCCCGGCGAGCCATCTTCCCCCTCAGCTCACTGACTGACAACCCAGCCCCGAGGGCCGCCACTGCCGCCAGCCACTCTGACAGGCACGTCTAGTGACCGGTCCCAGGGCAGCCAACCAAGACCGCCCCACGCCAGTTCGACCTATCGCCGTCCGTTGAGGCGGGACCAGAACAACTTCTGCACCAATAAGAGTCCTCCTCTGCTGGACCTGGGGCGGAGCCATCGGATGGGCGGGAGAGAGACCCAGGTGGGCGTGGCCTGAGAATGGGCGGGGGCGGGGCACCCAGGAGAGATGATTGACTGTAAAATTGGCTGCCACTGCTAGGCAATAGCGATCAGTGAAAGTCCCTTAGACTGTGAGCCTTTAGGGTTTATGGCCTTTCAGAAGAAAGTAAGCCTTGCAGAGTGATGTGAAGAGAGTGAAGAGAAACTTAACTGGTATTTTAATTTCTTGGTGTAGGGTAAAGAAAATGTCAGGCTTTTCTGTCCTCCCACCATCAGGATAGATGATGGATCCTTGCGGTCCTGAATGCATGGCTGATGGCCGGCACCTGGAGTAGGGTGTGGGCCTAGGTAGATGGGATTCACCTGGGCTGAGACTGTGCTTTTAAGGGCGGCATCACGGGGACGCCAGTAGCAGCAGAAGCCAAGAAGCTGAGAAAGAAGCCGAAGAGAAGCTGATGAGAGAAGCAAAGAAGCAGAAGCAGGGAACGCCAGAGAGCCCAGAGAGAGTGCGGATTTGCTGGGGGCTGAGAGGACTGCCAGCTTCCGGGTCCCCCAGCATCCTGCCTGCCATATACCTGGTGAACCCCAATAAAAGACCTGCAAAAGCCACTGAGGACTCTGACTTCTCCTTTACCCGGTCTGCTGGATCAGAAAACTTGCACTGTGTCCTCTCCTGCCCCTTACACTTGGTCAGGAGGATTTACTTCCCAGTCATTCCAGTAACAGAGGTTTATCAAATGTTATCAAGTCCCAGGAGGAAAAACTATATACGTTTTGCAACATGGTAATAAAAACTCTTCCCACATTACTATATTATTTTTGGCCTTAGCCTGGAAAAAGTCAAATATAATTCCTCAATTTTCTTTCCAAGGGCTGCTATCATTTTCTTCATCTTCCTTCCCTACACTTCTCCCAAAACACACAAAATATTTTGTGTCATGACTGGAACCTGAACACAGCTGAACCATTTCCTGCATCTAGTTCCTCCATTTTTTTAACTTTGTCTACTCCTACCCCGTCCTTCTCAAGTCCATTTAGGATTAATTAGAAGAAAATGAGAACTTTAACCTGAAAGATAGGAAAGTCATTCTAGGTTTACACTAGTAAGGGGAGGGCTTCTCAAACCTGATGAACACATGAATCACAAGAACATTACTAAGAAAATATATCGCTTAACATCAAAAGAACATCAAGTGAACAATTTCAGGTCATCATTACGGCACATTTATAAAACAATCAAATGAGATTCCTCCTTTCCAAGAACATGGCTTATATTGTTATTATGAACAAAATTTAACAAGGTCTTGTAAAAAGAATACCAGAAGGCCTCCCTGGGGTTAAAATCTCAGTGCTATCAAGCTATCCCCAGGCACTGCAGCTCAAGTTCATGCCTGGTCAGGGAGCTAACCCACATAGCACAGCAGACCTCTCCTGTCTGGCCTGCTGTTCCCCTCAGCAGTGTATTTCAGTCAATCTGCCTGTTCTGCTCCCCACTCTGTCTCTGGTGAGTCCTCACTCTCCCCGACACCTCTGGCCTACACCCTAGTTCTAGTATGCATAAATAAATTTTTTAAAATCTTAAAAAAAAAAAAACACAGAGCTAGCTACAATGAGCAAGGGTAACACAGAAAAAGAAATCATATTTAGGAAAGTTAGAGAACTTCATGAGGAAGGTTATATTTAAATTGGATCTTAAAAGGTAAAAAGGAGTTTGCTAGAGAAGAAAGTCAAAGGGCATTTCAGGAAGTTGGAATAGCATATCCAAAGGACCAGTGTTGTGAAAGGGCTCTAGTAATTAGGGAACATTGAGAAAGTAGGTGGGGCTAAAAGGTGAGGAGCAGCCAAAAACTAGCCTAGAAGAAAAGGTTGAGATGAACTTGTCAAAGACCTAATGAGCCCAGGTAAAATATTTAGACCAGCACTGTCCAACAGAGCTTTCTGAAGATGGAAATGGCCTGTATTTGTGTTATCCAACATGATAGCCACTAGCCACTATATAGAACATTTAAAATATAGCATAGTGAAGGAATTCAACATTTTATTTGAATTTTAACAACTCTCATATTGGACAGTCCAGCTTTATATTTTATTCTATAGGCAATGAAGGACCAATAGAAGTTTTTAATGGTGTGGATAACACATGATTCTTTTGAAGGGTAGGAATCTAAAAACAATGTAGCCAGTGTCTGATCTCTTTGAGGGAATCTTGTCTCTACAAATAAGACCAGAGTACTGATGGCTGCTGTGTGAGTCCAGAAGAGGGAGTCAGGGAAGCTTTCACCATAGAGTTAAAAATTGAGCTGGTGGGCCTTCCTGGTGGCTCAGGTAGTTAAGTCTTAGCACTATGAAGCTATTGGCAGCACCAGTTGGATCCGGCCAGGGAGCTAACCACATGGCACAGCAGACCTCTCCTGTCTTGCCATCTCCTCCCCTCAGCAGTGTGTTTCAGTAGATCTGCCTGTTCTGCTCCCCACTCTGTCTCTGGTGAATCCTCTCAACATCCCATTCCCCGTACCTCTGGCCTACACCATAGCCCTTACATGCATAAATAAATTAAATAAATCTTAAAAAAAATTGAGCTGTTTCTCAAAGAATGAGTAGGAATTTGAATCAGAGAAAATGTGTGTAGAGGAATCTCTTGGAACAGAAGAGGGGAAGCACAATATTCAGAGGGCAACCATTTGAGCTGCCCAGAGTATGGGAAACTGGATTGGAGATAAATAATAGCATATCTTGAATGCAAACATACATCTTCAGACTCTGTCCTTTTGCCTAGTGGCTACCTGTCTGCTCATTAGAATCTCTTAGGATGCCTTTCAAAAATATTAATGCCCAAACCACTCCTATACCACATAAGTCAGAAAATTAGAGGGGGTATGGGGCTGGAGAAAGGTTTCATTTTAATAACTTCCCAAGATATTCTAATATACACCCAGGGTTGAAAATGGGGACATGACATCACAACATTTTACTAATTATAAATCAGGATTATGCATGGGATAGACTGAGTGGAAAGAGATTGAAGGTTGCTTACACATATTTAAATATTTGTTTCCTTTCTGCAAGGAGCAGGAAACAGTTTCTTGCCTGAAGTCACTTCCCATTTTGCAATGATAAGATGATATATAAGGCTATTTTAAGTCCTTCCTCTAAGTCATAGTAAAACCAAAAAACAAATTTACGTTTACAAAGAGTAGTCTCTATCACAATGCGTGTATGTAAAAAATGATTTCCATATGGTGGAAGATTATTAATGCCCTGGTATTGGGCATGGTGTATAACATTTGTAGAGGTATGAACTTATACCCCTAAAACATGTAAACATGTTGTAAATCAACATCACCTCAATAAAAATAATTTTTAAGAAGAACTTCCAATAATAAACTACTACACATAACCATATATATTTTAGCAGCAAAGTATCAGAAAAATTCCTCAGAACATTCTGTTTCAAAAGGGAAATGTGTTAACTTACTTTATGAAAGTCAGTGTATTCCGGACCTTGCCTTCCCATCTTTACAGTCTCTGATATCCACAGGCTAATTCTATATTACCTATTCAATAAAATTAACTACATTAACTATTAAATTAAAAACCTTTGAGCAAGTAAGTTTATTAAAATTCCAGTTAAACATGATCAAGCATGAACATTTTTTCCTACAATATTAAATTTCAGAAATTTTAAGAAAAATTTAGATCAAATATATTTCCATTAAAATCAGCTGAAAAATAGGCCACATGGCAAATTTTTCCAGATTTATTTAGATATAATTGACATGCTACATTGTATAAGTTTAAGGTGTATAATGTGATGATTTGATATAGATTGTGAAATATTGCCACAGTAAAATTAGTTAATACATGTCACTTCACATTGTGTGTGTGTGTGTGAACATTTAAGATTTGCTCTCTAAGCAACTTCTAAGTTTACAATACGGTACTGTACTATTAACTATAATGCTACGAAGACTGTATACACCAGGTTCCAGGAATTCATTCATTAGGTTCCAGGAACTTACTCATTCTGTAACTGGAAGTTTATATGCTTTGACCAACATTTCTCCATTTCTCCCACTTCTTTCCAACTGCTACTCTACTCTTAGTTTCTGTGTCACATGACTATTTAAAAATGAATGAATTAGGAGAATTTTGTTCTCAAAAATACATGAAAAATATGTCATGGCAAGTATGCTAAAATACATTTTTTTAGAAAATCAAAAATAAAAAGAGTATGCTGAAGAGGTCATTCTGTTTTGCTGTGCTGATTCCCCTTCAAAGAGAGCTACTACCATCAGTGACCCCAGTTAGGATCAACCTGAGCCATGATCTGGGTCATATAACCCCCTTCATAGAACCAGGTAACCTGAGGGCAGTCAGGCCTGAAAAGTGACTTGTCCAAACAGGGATGGTGGTGACTACCTAAACCTATTCTCTTTCAAGAACTTGAGCTGGAAACAGGAAGAGAAAAATCAATAAGTAGTGGGAGCAGGAGCTAAAAAGTCAAGCAGTAGAAACAAGTCTTGAAATAACTCTAACAGGATAACTGATGAGTAAACTGTAGCCAATAGGTAAAGAAGAGACATACAAAGGAAAGGATGAAGCAAGTGGTGATAAAGGAGCAGTAGAAGTAGAGACAGTAGAATGAGTCACTGCAATTAAGATGGGGGTCAATAAACTCCTGCTGTCAAGGGATGGATGAAGTAGCCCATTTCTTTCAGCGGCCCAGAATCGCTCCTGTTCCCTGAGTATCTATCCAACATCAGAAAAGCCCAACTGCAGCCATGCCCAGAGTCCTGTAAGATTCCCATCTGCATCACCTAGAAAATGCTAAATGTACCTTTC